GGGGCATGGTGGCTTACTGGGAGGCAGACACAGGGGGATTGCTTGAGCTTAGGCATTTGAGACCAGCCTGAGCAAGAAAGGACTCCATCTCTACTAAAAATAGAAAAACCGGCCAGACATCATGGCAGGCTCCTGTAGTCCCAACTACTCAAGAGGCTGAGGCAAGAGGATAGCTTGAGCCCAAGAGTTTGAGGTTGCTCTGAGCTATATCACCACAGCACTCTACCTGGGTGACAAGAGTAAGACTGTATTGCCAAAAAAAAAAAGTACTAGAGTTAAGGGCTTATGTGAAGTTAGGGAGACGGTCCTATTGACATCATGGGTATTTGCCTGAAGTTGTGGACCTTTTACAGTTGATGTCTCATATGTGTGTTTTCAGTATGATTGGGCCAGAATTGAATTTTTTCCCTTTTGAAGAGCAAGCTAAGCATTTCTATAAGCCTTTCTTCAGCATTTCCATGGCATGCTTCCAGCTCCACCCCACTGCAGTTACATGCTCTCTGGCCGCCCCAGGAGCTCATAGGCGTGAACTTAAGGGAGCCATAAAGAAGTCCCTTCAGGGAGACTTCACCATGTGCCTCATAAGTCACCTCATCTAAGTCCTTCAAGAAACCGAACTCAGAGAGTCTTCCTCCCTACAAGTCGCAAAGTTTAAAAGGACTCGCAGTTCAAAGTAAATATTTTCATCGATAGCATTTTCTTTCCTTTAATCAGTGACAAAATAAGCATGAAGGAATGTAGAAGAAAAATTTTTAAAACATGAAATGATACATTTTTGCCGTGCTTTTTAGTTCACACGGTACACGTAGAATTTTAACAAAAACCTATTATGATTTCAATCTGCTAAATAAAATGTGCCTTTCAACAGCCAGCTTGAAGCTGAGCTGATGTGAGCATCGCAAGCACAAAAGCGCACTGCTGGGGTATTTTAATGTCTTTGTTTGATATCCCTCAATTCAAAAAAGCTTTTAAGCCGTAAATAGAACCCTACCTTTGTCATCTTTAAAATCTCTGTATCAGGTAGGTTTGTGTTGAATGTCACATCTTTTATGTAGGTTATTGCAATTTCATCCCCATCCATCTCCATATACATTTTCCACTTACAATCCTGGAATTAAAAGCAAAATTATAGAATTTGAGAAAGCGAAACAAAATTTTTTAGTCTCAATGTTTTATAACACATAAAATATTCTAAATGAAGTATTATTGGAGTGTTTTTTTTCCCTTTTTCAATCAAAGCACTTGAAATTACATCCCTTTGTATAGCTAAATAACCCCCCTTTGGTGCAGCCTTGAGACGTAATTTATCACTTTGAGTGCTCTATTATCGAAATTTCCAATGCAAAAATCCTAAAGGGGCCAGCCAGATAATAAAAATAAGTAAAGCCAGGCAGCTTCATTATAGAGCCTTAAGTTGTAACCTTTCAAAATAGACCCATTTCATTCACATATTACACATTGTAGGAATATTTTCTCATTGCTACGAAGAAATGTGGTCTTTCTACCTTTTTTGAAATAGAAGGCCTTCTAGATCTATTTTTCATTTTCCCAGATTGATAATGACATGGGTACAAGAAATGGTCACTTTCCTGCTAACATGAAGGAAAACAACACTGCAAGTGGGGTGACAATCGGAATTGAAAGTAATGGGGAGGCCAGAGGACTCTGGGGAACTAAAGAGCAGTTGCCCTAAAAGCAGCTACTCCTCAGCTTCCATTGATTGTTCCCCTGTGGATGTATGAGCTTAGGTGTGCTAGGTCTTTAATCTTTTATGAAAGGTTGGGAATCTGAATTCTTATGATGGTTTTGATTTGTAACGATGGTAACTTAATTTTTTAAGTAAAATCCCCACATAATGAAAAAGTGCTCTGCATGATGTTACTAGGAGAATATGAATTATAAACAGGACAAGGTACCACTCCACACACTCACCAGAATGGCTAAGACTGATAACATCAAACGTTGGCTAGGATTTGGAGCTACCGGAACTCTCATACATTGTTGGTGTGAATGGAAATGTTACGACTGCCTTAGACGAAGTTTTGGCAATTTATTACAAAATGAAATATACACATACTCTACAATTCATAAATTCTACTTGTAGATGTTTACCCAAAAGAAATGCAAAAAAGCCTTGTCCAGGTATATTCCTAGCAGCTTTATCATATATTCATAGAATGTAATCCTACTTAGGAACAAATTACCGATGCATGCAACAACATGGATAAACCTCAAAAACATGAATGTGGGCTCGGCGCCTGTAGCACAGTGGTTACAATGCCAGCCACACACACCGAGGGTGGCAGGTTCAAGCCCAGCCCGGGCCAGCTAAACAACAATGACAACTGCAACAAAAAAATAGCTGGGGTGTTGTGGCGGGTGCCTGTACTCCCAGCTACTTGGGAGGCTGAAGCAAGAGAATCACTTAAGCCCAAGAGTTTGAAGTTGCTGTGAGGTGCGACGCCACAGCACTCTACTGAGGGTGACTTAGTGAGACTCTGCCTCAAAAAAAAAAAAAAAAAATTAATGTGAGAGAAAGAAGTATTACATGAAAAAACAAACTAACACTTCCATTTATATGACATTCTGGAACAGACAAAACTAACTTATGGTAGAAAATATTCAGAAGAGTAGTTGCTTTTGCAAATGGAAACTGACTGGAAAGGGGTATGAGGGAATCTTCTGAGGATGTAAGTACTCTTGATGGAGGTTTGGATTATACAGGTGTATGCATTTGAATATACGCTTAATATTTCTGCATTGTTATGAGTTTCAACATACTGAAGTATTGAGGAGGAAGTATACTGATACCTGACAATTACTATGAAGTGCATTGAAATATAAGGACTGACAGAGAGACAGATAAATAGATATGTGATAAGGCAAGGATAGTAAAATGTTAATGGTTGACTCTAGGGGGTAGGTGTATGAGGGTTTACTGTAAAATTCTTTTCACTTTGCTGTATGAATATTTTAATAATAAAAATGCCGGGAGATTAAAAACTGGGTACACAATTCAAGGAAAAAATAAACCCATGTTTTGTACCAAATTTCACCTCTGGACCATAAATTCACATTTTCTCTTTCCTCTTTTTTGAAGAATCAAGCAGTAAGATTCTCAAGAGATTAACACTGATGTACCTAGCACCTTACATATTGAAACTAGAAAATGCCCTCCTGACAGTGGACCTGGACTATTTCCTAGAGCAAACTGACATAATTCTCATGGAAGGGCATCATCCAAGAGGCTGTTGAAAACCTGTTGGCTTCGACAGGAAGCTTGGGGAGCCTGATGTTTCAAGCAAGCCTCTGGACAACATGCAGAACCAAGCAGGGCCCACGTCTGAGGAGAGGGCTCGTCTTTGCCCAGCCACACTTACAAAATAAAAAGCCAATTAGGGAAGGAGAAGGTCTACTAGTCAATAAAATAAAAACCTAGCTATTAGCTAACATGAGTCAAATTAGTCACTCAGAATTGACAAATGTCTTTGTATTTCTTTGTTTTGAAGCCACTGCCACCCCCGCCACGTGGGCCCTGAGATAACTGGGCCAGATAATGACTCGTGCCTAGACTGCTCTTCTCTGAAATCGCAAGAGCCTCCTCAAGGCAGTTGCTGGAATCAAAACGCCTCAGAAGAGAAGAGTTTATTTAGTTCTGTTTCTTTTGCCTGTCAAGTTTGGGAATGCAGTTAGTCAAAAGCACAGTCAAAAGACCCTGAGCCGGCTCGGCGCCTATAGCTCAACCGGCTAAGGCGCCAGCCACGTACACCTAAGGTGGCGGGTTCGAATCCCCAGCCCGGACCCGCCAAACAACAA